ATTTGAGCCTCGAAGAGACAAGTGAAATGCATGCTGCCGGGGTCTCTCATAAATACCTCGCCGATCATCTTGCTCAGTAAAGGCAGTCCACTTGTTAGTCTTTTTTCTGTCTCTGTTTGAATCTGCAACAAGATTCTCAGTGTGAAAATTTTCTAATGTTTCACCCTGCTTTCCTAAATAGTCCCAAGACTGTGTCCTGTGATTCCGGGGGCTGATAGATGGTGAGGTTAGAGCATCTTGAGAGGCACTCCTTGGCCACTCCTTCAACAATATAGGATCTTCAAGTCTTTCCTGGGACACACTCCTTTGCCGTATCTGAATGGACTGTGGGACCCTATCATGAGAGGTGCTTCTGCGTCGTACCTGTGAAACACTGCGATTTGGTACCACTTGATTATAATCTGTTGTGTTCTGAGATGCTGCTCTTAAACTATCTAACCTTTCCTGTATGGTTCTGCAGCCATACATGTGCAAACGTCTATTATCAATGTACTCTTTGTAGGTTTTGTAATTTTTCCAGTCTATGGTTTGGTGGGCATTTGGAGAAGTGTAGTGATTGGTAGTGACAGAGGGAGAACCTGCACTTTGAGTAGGAGATCTAGTATTTGAGATCCCTTCTGGATGCCCTCCATAGCTTCCAGACTTGCTAGCTATTCCATTGGGATCTATTGGCCTTGTGAGTGGCGTCTGAGGAAGTACAATGGCAGTGGGCACTGGAGAAGGTGGTGATGTGGTTCGTGCTTTTGTTTTTATAGTGGTTTGTTCCTTAAGACCATATCTTACTTCCTCTATCCGATGTGATGGACCAGTATGATTTATTCTACAGGATGACAAGTCTACAGCCTTCTCAGAAGGCACAACAACAGTTCTTACAGTCTCGTTGTTGCAAACACAGACAGCTGTGTTAGATTTTGCAATATCTGTTGGGGATGGAGGCACTTGTATTTCCATTCTGTAGGCCTTTTCTGGTTGTGCTGATGTCCGTACAGGTCTACTAGCTGGCTGCTTACCAAGTGAAGAGTCAGGAGGTGCTTTCTCAATATCTTGTGCCTTGACAGAAGGTGGAGATGCTAACCGAGGATAACATATTGGTGGTGGTTCAGGTATGTTGCGGGCATTACCACTGTAAGCTTCATTGCCTTTCAGGTAGGCATCTTGGGAATATGCCTATACAAAGAGGATTCAAAAAGAAATGAAATTACTAAAAATGTGAATGTGAAATCATCACCATGTTACAGGGAGATGAATCCAGTAGACAGCTAAATCCCTTGAAGGGCAAGGACCTCTCATATGAAACAGCTCTTTGCTACAGGTAACTGTTCAAAGAACAAGAAGTGTCAAATGCCTTCGTTATTACTCCCTGGGTATGAAAATATACAATGGAAAGTCTCCACAAAGTATTAAGCATGTTTTATATAAGTCAAACAGCAAATCCCAGCAACTAATGGCAGCTGATTAAGAGAACACAGAGATTTGTAAGCATAAACCCAAACCAAGTATTTCTGTTCATACACATCCTCAAACCCAGCTTCACAAATTCCTCCTTTTGATCTTTTTTTATGCTGGAAGCTAAAATTATGCAGCAATCGACAGGTTAAATAAGGAATTCTGTTAGCCTCAGAAAATGTGCAGCTCTTTGCCACATAGAGAAAACATATAGCCTATGTAAATACTATTGCATTCAATACAGATTGCTTTTCTAAAAGGTACAATTACTATATCTAATGGGAGTAGACGGTGGCAATGTCTTTGTTGGCAGCCAACGCCCACCCTCCTTCCAAATAATCTTACATGTTACTTATTCCATGAATTCCATACTTCTCACAGCAGTGCCATTTTTTAACCCAAATACACCACCAGCATACATGCTCAGGCAGCTATTTATAAGCACTTCCTTAGAGTGGAATGCAGACTATCACAAGCCATATATTCTTTAGGTGCTTCACAATTTCCATCTTACCTTGCATTTTAAGAACCTGACTCCTAAGGAAACCATTTGCTTTACATATTGCATGTTTCCCTTGCATCAAGACATTTCTGAAACCATCGTACAACTAACGATGCAAGATCTGCCCAGAACATACAAATGCTATTATTTTAGACTTTGCCATCACTTCCTTTAGTGGCAATATGAAATTAAAAGAGCTGACAGCACACAGCTTGCCAATGCACAAATCTTTCCCGAACATTTTTTTTTAACACAGCTTAGGTGTGGTATCATATTACAGCGTTTCCTGCTTAAATCATAACATGCTCCATTCAGCCAAATCAACATGCCCTGCCTTAGCATTAGACAGGTTGTAAAAGCCCAAATGCAGCTATAAACATTAGACTAAGAGCAAAGTGCTGAGGATGAGAAGGGCGAGGTACTTAAAACACACGGCTGCAATAAATATCACTGACAGCATTAGTTAAGTGCAAACGAAATATTAAAAGCAAACTGGCAAGAAATAAACCAAATAACTAACAGAAACACAGGCACACATTAAAAGGTAACAGAATCAATATTACAACTGAGATTCAGCTAACCAGCAGATATAGCTTGCTTTCAGCAACTTGCAGGCTTTAACAGTCCAGCATCTTGCAGATCTACCAAGAAACACATGCCTTACAAAAATCAGAGAAATGGCTACAGTACATTTCTTACCAGTGCTGTGACATCCTTTGAAAACTGCAGCTGGCAGAAAACAGGAAAACATAGTAAAAGCTGCTTATGGGTGTAAAGACAGAATTATGTGGTCATGTTGAAGCGGGATACACAGCAAGCTAAAAATACATCTACACCGATTTCTCTGGAAGATACCAAGAGAGGTAAAGGGCAGTGGAGCATAAACAATAACTTCAGCCTCCTTGTGAGCATGTCTGTCTCAGGCTTTTACCTGCTTCTTGCATTTATTCCCTAGCCTTCCAGAAAAAGAAAATACAGTTGTGCTGTGTTGCTTCAGTGCATCTTTTCTGCTGCAAACGGAGCCCTCTGGTTGTGCTACAAGGCATCCCTTCTACTAGAGCAACATAACGGTCTTTCATCTCCCCTGAGCTGCTACCATCCCTGCTTCCAGATGACGAAACAAGGGTTTCATTATGCATTTAAAATCCATGCACCCCTTCCCCACATGCATCGGAACAGAACCACAAGCTGTCAGCTGACTGCAGCTGCTTTCATACTCTACGTCTGACATTAGAAGGATGATTTCAGAATAATCCTCAGAGAAAAACAGCCTCCCCATGTGATCGTTTTCATTTTGTATATCTTTGGCGTTTCTTCAGTGACAAACCAGAGACAGGCTGTGCTTCCAATTGCAAGGTGCATGCTAATACAGCTGTCTGATTTTTGCATGCTCTCTCATGACGGAAAATGGGGACTCTGCATTCGTGTACTTTTCAGATTAGGAGGGGGAAATAGGAAAGCAGACATAGACGCATGAAAAAGCAAGCTGTGGTACAGTCTAAGGAAACAACACATCCGCTCACACTCTGAAATATGCCAATACTGCCTCCCTAGTCCAATTTAGGCATATATACTCAGCCCAAATCTGCAGGTTTGCAAGATACCCTACTTAAAAACCACAAAAAATGCACCACATTAGCTCTGCCTGAATATATAATCTGGGAATGACTAAAATGATAAATTATAGGAAATGAACCAGTTTTGTATTAATGAAGGGAAAGAAAATTTGAAAGTATATCAGAATACAGCATAGTTCCTCTAGATAATTATTTTAGTATATATTTTCATTATTTTTAAAGTCAATGAAGAGCATTTTTTTTAAAAAAAGAAATATTCAATTTACAACTTCAAGTTCAAAACTGCTTAATATAAAATAAATATACAGCAGGGGTGGGGAACCTGTGGACTACAATTCCCATCAGCCTCAGCCAGCATGGACTGAGGAGAGTCTATAGTCCAGCAATCAATGGAGAGCCATAGGTTTCCCACCTCTGTGGTACACAGGGTAAAGTCTTCCCAAGGTTGGTGCAAGGCATAGTACCTCCTGGGAAAGCCGCTTCCTGCCCTCCTCTCTTCTTCTCTCCCCCTCACTTTTGATATGTTTTGCTACCAATGTGGCAGCATGCCTATGCTTCCTCACTGTGGAAGGGATTCACTCCTCAGAATGAGACATTCTAAGTGAGGTGGCTCAGGAAAGGACCTGCCCTGCCTCTGCTTTTCTTATGCTTCTAATTATTTAAAACAGGAATTTCTATTTAAAAACAGGAATGAGAGGCAGCAACATGGGCAACCTCACTCAGAATACATCACTGGGGAAGGAACCCCCTTTGTCAGAGCAAGGCATGAAGAGGGTGGGCACTCCAGTGACCCCGGAAAAAGCCAAACAGGTGACAGCATCTGAGGCAAGTGTGCGGGTGCCTGGGAGGCACCAATTCACCACCCCCAGTCCCTGAAGTAATTAGCTCAGTTTGTCCAGTGGTAGAGCCACCCATAAGCCTTTCCACATTGTTAACGACAAAGGCAAACCCAGATTAAAATCAGCTGAACTTGCATCCCACTAAAATCAATTGGACAAATTAATAATGACTTTGGTCTTATTGATTTTGATGCAAATTTACTGCATAATCCCGAATAAGGAGCAAAGCGGCCGAATGACTACGATTCCAAAACCCTGCTGGCTTCATGCTGGTCAGGCTGGAGGTGGGCTTACCCTCTTCCCTCCCACACATGTAAGGTAATTTAAAACAAATAAAAGGGGGGATTAAATATGTCCCTTTACTTATTCTACACATCTCCATTCCACTGGCCTCTCTCCGATGTCACTAGTGCCTATGGGCTAACCTATGATATATTTATTTTCATATCTGGAGCACAGGGGGAACACATCATGCCACAGAGGCTGTAAGAAGATACGGGCCTTGTGCACCTCTAAATCAACCAGCTACGTCCTAAATTCTGGACCTGCCAAATGATATGTAGAATTGTAGAGCTGGAAGAGACCCTGGGGGTCATCTAGTCCAAACCCCTACAATGCAGAAATCTTGCCCACAGCCACCCCTGGGTGGGCTAGAACCACCAGCCTTCTAGATTACAGCCAAACGCACTGCCCCACTACACCATGAGGTTTCCGTGGACACTAATATGCTACTGAAGTTATGCAGTTTGACTTCACAAAAGTACAAAAAACGTAGATGATCCCATAACTGTTTACACCAAATGTATCCTCACAAGATCACAGAAGGCCATAAGCCTATCCACAAACAGACGCACAGCCATTCACTGTCACAACTTCTTCGGTTTATTGAAATGGACGCTAGCAAATTCTGAGCATGCCTGATAGAAGAAAACCTGGAGATTTCTAAGAACAGCTGTGGTAGCATGTCCCCATAGCAACAAGCTGCGGAAATTAAGCTTCTAGCCAAGATCCAATTAAAACACACACAACTGAGGAGGCCGCACCCTCAGAGGGGAAAGGCCTCAAAGTAACTAGGGAATAAATAAATAAAAACCAAAGTAACTGGTGAGGGAAACCCGTCTAGGGTGTGTCCCTTACAAGGCACCCAGCCTCAAAATACTGGTAACGGAAAGAAATATTGTACATGGGTTATAGGCCTAGTAGGCCTTTCCATTTGTTCAATCTGAAGGTTTGAGGCCTACTGCTTGCTCTCAGGATCCTTGCCCTTCTTGACTGGCAGTAATGGACTTGCCACACCAAACCTCCTAAGTAGTGAATGCTTTACTGATGGGAAGGGGAAGTTCATACTGTCTTGAAAAAAAAACAGTTTTTACTGAAGAAATCAAATTTGCACTTCCAACCATCCTTGATAGTTATCACACAGTATCCAAAGCATCATTTTAATTTAATTTCATTTTTTTGTAGGATGACAGTGTAGTAAATGGCCTTAAGGAGCACCAGAGGAAACAGATGATTTAGGTTTGTTTCTAATCTGGCTTTTATTTATTTATAAAAGCATTGATATACCCCCATCTCATGTAAAACACCAAAGCGGTATGCAACAATGTATACAAATGAAACGAAACATAAAAGCACCACGAAAAATATACAGAACAATCATTAAAATGACTGCCTAATCCGCAGAAAAATTATACTAGCTGGCCTATTCAGTTTAAAGGGTCTTCAAGAAATGCCTGGGAGTTAATCTGAATCTCTTCTCGAAAAGTATTCTGTCTCCACACAAGATCGCCCTGGTGGATTATTTACACTGGGGAATGGATAAAGAGATTGAGACCCTATTGATTCTCATGGACCTCTCAGCGGCTTACAGTACCATTAACTATGGTTTTCTTCTGAGATGTCTTGCTAGATTGGGTCTGGAAAGACTCAGGTTTTTTCCTGGCTTTTGATCTTTGGTTTATACAGTTGTCCCAAGGTTCTATTCTATTCCCATTTGAAAAACAACAACAGGAAACTGCTGGCGGATGAGGAATCATCCAGAGATTTGAGTTACTGACATCTGCAGGCAGATGACACACAACTCTATCTCACATTTCCATCTGCTTATTTCAAGGTAGCAGTGGAAATCTTGCACAAGTGTCTGGAGGCAGTTCAGTACAAATGAAGGTGAACAAACTAAAATGAAATCCAGACAACATGGAGGTGAAAAGACCACCTAATCTGGATGAAGAGATTCAACAGGTTATTATTGCAGGGTCTGATTTGGCTCATTTCAGAGAAGCAGTCCTTGAGGTACTGTGATCCTGTGCTAAGACTTTATAAATGAAAACCTCTTGATTAACACATGCCATCTACTTTAAATGATCCAAAGCTTGCATAGAGAGCTTCGGAAGGGCATAAGAGCTAGGGAGGTCGTCTTCTAGGGAACTATTTCTTACTATAGTCTTGTTTGCACATAACACTGATTAAACCATGACAAGTCTCTGGCTCATGTGCTTTCCCCTCTCCCCTCTTCCTCTGTGGAGCTTTGGACTAACTATAGCGTTACCATACGTCCGGGAAATTCCAGAAATTCCTCTTTTGGGGGGGGCCAACATGCCCATCCGGGGGGGATTTTTAAATTTTAAAGAAAATGTCTGAGGTTTTTCGGGAGTGAGGAAAGAGGCTTGGGCCATCCTTTCTTTCTTTTTTCTTTTTTTCTCTTCAAGATATGGCAACCCTAACTAACTATAGCTTGCTTGTTGTGATGTCTGAACTCAGACAAACTTCGGTTAGTGCCAACTACAGCTTACTAAAACAAGGCAACTTCAAATTATAACTGTAAAAAAAAAGCTAAGATTAACCACAGGTTATAGTTAAAACACAACACTGAACTGTGGTTAGTTAAAAATAGAAGTTTTCAGACTTTCTTGGTCACACAGGAGAAGAGGAAGTGGGGTCTGGAGGATTATGAGCTTGAGGTTTGCTGCAGCTTGTCTTTGATTTAAATCATGATTTAGCTTTACATGTGAATACAGCATGAATTCATGGAATGATGGAGTATTCTTCCCCAAAGCAATCAGTGAATTGGCAGAAATGCCACACCTTTAACATATGAATTGGACTCTCAACCCAGAACACCTATTATCTGCCAAAGGTACAATTCTCTTCCAGCACAGTCTGCAATATATATTTTAAAGGAATAGGAATGTAGCATAGATGTTCCTCTGCAATCTAGGAAAACCAAGTAACCTAACTGAGAAATGAGAATCCATTCATTTAATAATGGGCACAACCATAATGTGTCTAGCAAAGGGTGAAATCCTTTCCTTCCAATTCATATTCTTTAAAGTCAATAAAAGAGTGGTGGCAGTGACATAGAAGAATGCATTCAACAAACAGTTTCCCCTTTCTTCATTTTGTTGCAACAGTTTATTTCGGCAAAAGATAAGACACAGTTTTTCTACTGTTTTCAGAATGACTTTAGTCTTGGTAAGACACATAAAAGCTGAGCAGTCATCTTTAAAAGTAAAGTAATTTCCATTGGTTTTGAAAATCCCCGCAAGAATACCTATGTTACTCAAAGAGGCCAGACTGGTGCCACTGTATATTGGAAATGGCCCTTAGGGTCATGTTTTCAGCACTTTCTTTTAAAACCACAAATGCTAAGATGTGCCTTTAATTTGTTGAAATGAAACCTTAAATAAAAACAATATTACTTTCAGCAAGGTGATGTGAAAGCATCTATCAGTTTTGCAGGCAACAAGTGTTCTTCAACAAACCTGAATGGTTTTTAACTTTTTAAAACAGTTTAAAATGTATCATTTCTTTCCTGTCTATTAAATATTTTTGTACATGTCCACCTTGCTCTCTATTTCACCACCATGTCTTAAAATATACCCAGAGTTCTTCCACATTCTTTTCTACAGTGGGCTGTAGGACACCTTGAGCCCTCGTTTAGAAGAGGCATCTAACAAAGTTACTAAACAAAATGTAATAGTTCTATAAATAAATAAATCATCCCCTTTATTACAGATAAAATATAGATTCACTTTGAGGATTGATTTACACTTCGGGTAGCAAGCCTAAGTGTAGAGCTATTAAAGCGTATAAAGGGAAATGCATGTTACCAGATGTACACAAGACACACAATAAGAGCCTCAACTAAATCATATTAACATCCATTTTCACTAGCATTTAATAAAGAGGAGGGATTGCTTCTGAGTAATGGATGCCTTAACAAGGAAAAGAACTACTGCGGTTTTTCCTGGCAGCTGTCTAACTGTATGGCTGGGCCCTATAAAGGCCATTTACTTGCAGTTTGATAATTAAGGAGAAGCGTTATTAGCCCCTCTCCTCCCTTTTAAATGCTGAATTTGGGTTTACTGTAAATGTTTCATGTGTTCTGTTAAAACAGACTTTCTACAAGATTTTATGCTTGAAATGCTATCCTATCCTATTTTTTTTCTTGATTTCCCCCCCTAAAAACTAGGTGCGCCCTAGGGTCCGATGCGCCCTATGGAGCGAAAAATACGGTACCTCTGCTTGTATGAACTCCTGAAAAATTGAAGCCAATCAGAGAGAGGTGGGTTTGAATGCACACATTCTCCATTAAGAGAATGACAATTGGCCCTTACTTGTAACAAAGTCCCAGTGAAAGCAATGGGACTTGTATCTAACTTCCAAGTGGATGCTTACCTGACAGAGAACAAAACAAAACAAAATCAAAATTTTGTTTTTTACAGAGTAGAGGGACCTGAATGGGTTCCTTCAGTCCAACTTTTAGAATGAGTTTCAATTTCTTGCTTAAATAACAGCTCATTCATTACTGGCCTTTGTGTACCCATTTTTGCTGAAGATTATCATCACAGGTATTTCCACCTTCAACTCAGATCAGAGCGTGGCTTTAGATTTTATTCATTGCCATGTACTGCATTTCAGTAGTTCAGAGGGTGGCTTTAGATTTTATTCACTGCCATGTACTGCATTTCAGTGGTTCGTGGTATATGTTCCTTCAAGCATTCAAAGGGTAGGAAGGCTCCCCGTCCCCACATTTTCATTTCATATACAATTGTACCTTGGTTGTCGAACACCTTGGTACTCGTATGTTTTGTCTCCTGAATGCCGCAAACCTAGAAGTGAGTGTTCCAGTTTGCAAACATTCTTTGGAACCCAAACATCCGATGCTGCTTCCACGGCTTCCAATCGAGTGCAGGAAGCTCCTGCAGCCAATTAGAAGCCGCGCCTTGGTTTTTGAATGTTTTCGGAAACTGAATGGACTTCCAGAACAGATTCTGTTCGAGAACCAATGTATGACTGTATGCTTGTTTTTTACCCTGTGTGTTTCTAGAACTAATGAAACAACAAATTAAGAAAAGAAGAAATGGGCATTACAGCTATAGTAGTAGCATTATTCAGCAGTTCAGCTTACTCAAGAGCCTGGTTAAAGAGCCAAAAGTTTTCTGGGGTGCTTATGGCCATCTTACTTTAGTTTCTATTTCAGAAGTATAACTTACCAGCTGAAGGATGTCTTCATCTTTTGGCATCACACTAAGTTCTAGCATGCTGTCACTGTGAGAGAGGAGGAAACATATTGGTATTTTAATAAAAAATAAAATACTGTACTAACCAATTGATAGGAAATTTAATTGCTGGCTAACATATAAAAAGTTGCATTGATTATCTCAGTAGTCACTCTTTCTCAACAACCAGCACTGAATATAATGCTCG